AACAGAAACATTCATCTATAAAATAATAATTGAACAGAAACATTCATCTATAAAATAATAATTGAACAGAAACATTCATCTATAAAATAATAATTGAACATTATTTATCTGAGGAGCAGCTCTGAGTTTAACTCCATCACAGAACTCTCATCTTGAACAAGCATGAAGGCGACAGTGGAAAGAAAAACTCCCTCATGAGGAAGAAACCTTTAGCAGAACCAGGATCAGGACAAGAGGACCATCTGCTTCGACCGGCTGGGTTTGGTAGGAATAGATACACAATGGCAGGTCAAGAATCACATGTTAAGATAGAAATAGTATCAAATGAAAACTATTCAGTTTTAACAATTCATTTAAGAACATGAGGTCAGTTTGTCCTCTAGTAGTCTAAGTCTATAGCAGCAGAACAAGCCTAACTATAGGATTTATCAAAAAGGAAAGTCTTAATCCCAGTCTTCAAACTGGACAATGTGTCAGCCTCATGGACAGAAACTGGAAGTTGGTTCCACAAGAGAGGAGCCTGAGAACTGAAAGATCTTCCTCCCATTCTGCTGCTGGAAACTCTAGGAACCACAAGTAAACCTGCAGTCTGAGAGTGAAGTGCTCTGTTAGTAAAATATGGAACAATAAGATCTGTAATATAAGATGGAGCTAGGTTGTTGAGAGCTTTGTAGGTTAGAAGTAAGATTTTGAATTCTATTCTGGATTTGACAGGGAGCCAATGGAGAGAAGCTAAAACTGGAGAGAGATGATCTCTCCCAGTAACTCCAGTTAAGACTCTGGCAGCAGCATTTTGGATCAACTGAAGACGTTTTAAAGAAGTATTTGGACACCCAGATAATAAACCATTGCAATAGTCCAGTCTAGACGTGACAAATGCATGGACCAGTTTTTCTGCATCATCTTTAGATCAGATGTTTCTAATGTTAGTGATATTACGCAGGTGGAAGAAGGAGGTTCTAGTAACGTTTTTAATGTGGGGGATAAAAGACATGTCCTGATCAAAAATAACACCAAGATTTTTAACATTAGAGCTGGAGGACAGATTAATGCATCTAAGGAGGGAGAAAGACTGAAACATTCATTCCTAAGTCCAAAAAAGTTCAATCTGGTCCTCTGGACATTCAAAAAAACAAAAACAAAACAAAGCAAAAAAAATCTAGAACTAAGCACTAGTAGTACAAAAATAATACTCCGAATAACAGCAGCACGTACATGAGTCTGTGTGAGTAGATGAGTATGAATGAACACAGCAGCATGAAATAAATCAGCAGTAGAAGATCAGCAGCAACATGATGTGATTATTCTGGTTAGAGATTCATGAGTCTAACAGCCTCAGGGTAGAAGCTGTTCCTCAGTCTAGTGGTTCTACACTTAATGCTCCTCAACCTCCTTCCTGAGGGGAGCGGGGCAAAAAGTGTGTGCTGGGTGAGTGTGGTCCTTCATGATGCAGGTGGCCCTCTTCCTGCATCTGGAGGTGTAGATGTCTGTGATGGTGGGGAGGCTGACTCCAACATCTTCTGTGCAGCCTTCACCACTCTCTGCAAAGCTTTTCTTTCTGCAGCTGTGCAGCCTCCATGCCACACGTTGATGCTGGAGCACAGGATGCTCTCCACTGCACACCTGTAGAAGGAGGTGAGGACTGAGCTTCCAGACCAGCTCGTCTCAGCCGCCTGAGGAACTCACTGATGTGCTTTCTGGCTGGTCCACACACTGAACCTTGAGGAACTCCATGACTAATTTAGCTGTATGATGAAGATTCATTATTTACATTTACAAGGTGGAATCTATAAGATAGATATGATTTACACCAATTTAACACCTGTCCATTGTCAGAGGCCATGAGAATATCATTAAAACTTTCACTAGTGCAGATTCAGTGCATGTAGTGAGCTCTAAACCCTGACTGAAACTCTTCTTTGTAGATGTTCACGCAACTGACCTGCAACTATTTTCTCTAGAATTTTTGAGATGAAAGTTAGATTAGATATAGGTCTATAGTTGGCTAGTATTTTTTAGTCAAGGTTATGTTTCTTAAGTAAAGGGTTAATTACAGCAACCTTAAAGCTCTGTGGTACGTAATCATTTATTAGAGACAAATTAATTAGATCCAAGACATAGTTTTTAATTAAGGGAAATACATCTTTAAACAGGGCAGCACGGTGGTGCAACTGGTAGAGCTGCTGCCTCTCAGCGAGCAGGTCCCTGGTTCAAACCCCGGTCCAGGGGCCTTTCTGGGTGGAGTTTGCATGTTCTCTCCGTGCATGCGTGGGTTTTCTCCGGGTGCTCCGGTTTCCTCCCACAGACCAAAAACATGCATGTTAGGCTGATTGGTAACTCTAAATTGTCCCTAGGTGTGAGTGAGAGAGTGAATGGTTGTTTGTCTCGTTTGTCTCTATGTGTCCCTGTGATGGACTGGAGACATGTCCAGGGTGTACCCCGCCCCTCGCACAGTGATTGCTGGACATGGGCACCTGCAACCCCCGTGACCAAAATAGAAGAAGCGGGTAAAGATAATGGATGGATGGATGGATGGATGGAATTCAGAGAGCTAAACAGGACAGAAACAGTCCAAATATAAATAGAATAGAATTCAACTTTATTGTCACACGTCACAAGTACAAAGCAACGAAATGCAGTTTGTGTCTATCCAGAAGTGCTTAGCAAAAAAAATAAAAAAATAAATCTCAGGTTAATCAGGTTCTAGAGAAAATTTTTAAGTTGTCTCATCTGACACAGAACCAGAGGTGATACTAGGAATGTTGATTCGATTTTTTTACCTAATTGAAACAATTTTATCTATAAAGAGTCACATGAGCTCATCACTTCTTATAGTTAAAAGCTAAAATTAGCTAACTGTAGCTAAGACCTAAAATTCAGATGAAAAAGATAAAAATTGAGCCAGTAGCTACTCGATTACAAAGAGAACAATGGTTTTGAAGAACAGAAAACATCTTGTTTTTGGGAAAATGTTTATAAAAACTGTTAAATAAGTAAAAGCTTCTAAAATCTACAGAAACTGAAAGCTACAGCACGTTGATCCAAACCGAGCTGAACATTTTAACGTTAGAGTTAATACAACAACACACAGGAATGAAATGTTCAAAATGTGACAGAACCTTTAAACAGCAGAACTTTGTTGACTGAACTGAACCAGCAGATGTGAGTCTAACCTGCCGACAGAAACCACAGCTGGACCTGAACCGAGGCGGGCGGGGAGCCTCAGAGCCTCCGGCCTCTTTAAATATGAATGTTCAGATGAAGAATTGATGCTGTCATTTAGCCGGTCCGTCACACCGAGACCTGCATGGAATAACTTCCAGCCCGAGTCTAACACGTGTTTGTTCTTCAGGTTGTCATGAACCCTCAGAGGAAAATCATTTGGCCTGGAGGAGAGACGGAGAAACCTGTCGGATACCAGATGTCAACCAAACTGAAGGTCTGTCTGGCTCTGCGGAACACGCCACGGCTGCTTTCAGGTTCAGTTGGACACATTTACTGACACTGGCTCAGACCCAGTTTGTCCTCGTCTGTCAGATTATTTTACAACAGAACAACCAAACGGTGGTGACGTTCAGATAAATCATGTTTAGAGTCCATCATGTTCTCTTCGTCCTGTCTGCTTGTTTCTTCTTCACCTCCTCTTCCTCACCAGCAGAAACTTAGACACAAATGTCCCTGAGAACATTTAAAGCAGGCGTGAAGGAGCAGAGAGGAGCAAACCTGAGAGCTCAGACCAGCATCCAGCTGAACTCATTCAGAAAACCAACAAAGATCAGTTTCAGACTCGAGCAGGAAACGGTTTGATCCACGCCTGACGAGGAGTTCATCATTTAGAAAACAGACTCTCAGCTGCTACCACAAAGAGGTTTAGGTCAACTTCTGTAAATTAACTGTTATCCACCTTACTCCTACCCCTCGTGCTGGCTTGTGTGAATTATGGACGCTACTTCCGGCGCAGACCAGAACCGTTGTTTGTTTATGTGTGAACAGTACGAGCTAATGTTAGTTTCTCTGAGCATTGTGGATTGAATTTAAACATGTAGGAACACCACCTGTCAGAGCTCCAACAGAACAATATGATCAGACCGCTGCCTGCTGAGGACAAGGGATGGAGGACGAGCTGAAGAAGTGGCTGCAGATTACATCTACTAACTACGTCTGGAAGCTCAGTCCTCACCTCCTTCTCCAGGTGTGCAGTGGAGAGCATCCTGTGCTCCAGCATCAACGTGTGGCATGGAGGCTGCACAGCTGCAGAAAGAAAAGCTCTGCAGAGAGTGGTGAAGGCTGCACAGAAGATGTTGGAGTCAGTCTCCCCACCATCACAGACATCTACACCTCCAGATGCAGGAAGAGGGCCACCTGCATCATGAAGGACCACACTCACCCAGCACACACACTTTTTGCCCCGCTCCCCTCAGGAAGGAGGTTGAGGAGCATTAAGTGTAGAAGCACTAGACTGAAGAACAGCTTCTACCCTGAGGCTGTTAGACTCATGAATCTCTAACCAGGAAAGCTGTGTCCTCCATACACCTGAAATCAGACCTGATGTTCTCGTCACTGTTTTCAATCCTCCTGAGGACCTGGTGTCTCTTCTCCGGTGAATTATTGTCGTCCAGACACAAAGTAGGATGCAGGTTTTCCTCCGTCGGTCGTTTGTCAACAAAGTGAAATGAGCTCACATGCAGAGTTTTGGGTGGTCTCTTCAAGTTCACATTTTTCAGACACATTCTTCTTAATTCCTCATCTGTAGGTAGGAGATGAAACTAAACCTGTTTTCACAGGAACTCTTTTTGTTTTGGTCCGTGTTCAAACTCTGTTGTTGTAGCCATTGATTTAGTTTGGTCTGGTTATTTTGCAGCCCTGAACACAACAGGTACCTGAACGCATCACCGCTATTTTAGTAAACTTTATGGTTGTTAAATAAATGTGAACAAAACAAAAACAAAGTTTTATCTGCTGAACTGAATGTAAATTACTTTCAAATAAACCGCGGTCGTGCTCCTCAACCATGGTTAACCAAAGTTTACTGCTACTTCCTGTCTGACAGGAAGTTAGACCCAGAATCATTTAGACAGTAGAGCCCCCAGGAATAAGGTGCATAGCCTCTGTGTGCGTGTGAAGGTTAATTGGCTGTGGCAACCATTTTGAATCAGGCAGCGTGGAGGTAAAGATGGAGCGATGTTGGGTTGGTGACAGATGAGTCAAAGATGTCTCTTCAGAAATACGCAGAACTAATTTGTGTTCACGAGGCTTCAGTCAATCCAGTGGTGGTGCGCCTCCAGGCTCCATACGAGGACTGCTGCACTTTAGTTTTTATTAAACATGTTGCCACGTTGACTTCTACGGTTTTAGAATAAAGTCGTGTAAACAGCTTTGTGTTTTTCTTCTAACACCAGAGTCCGTCTGAGTGTAAAATCTGTTTGTGTGTTCAGATTGTCACGATCCATCAGGAGCCATTTGTTTACGTGAAGCCGACGAAGAGCGACGGCACGTGTAAAGAAGAGTACACGGTCAACGGAGTTCTGATCAAGAAGGTGATCTGTACTGGACCCAATGGGACCATACCAGGTACCCAGACACTGCTATTCTGCTCTGTGAGAATCCCCTGACCCCCCCCCCCCCCCCCCCTGACTCCATGACCCCTGACCTCAGAGTTTGCTGCTCTGAACTGATTATTTTAACCAAGAACTTGTTGAAATGGTTCTGTGTGCTCAGGTCAGCCCGTCGTCCCTCAGTGCTGCTACGGTTTCTGCATTGACCTGCTCATCAAGCTGGCCATGAGCATGAACTTCACCTATGAGGTTCACCTGGTGGCTGATGGGAAATTTGGAACTCAAGAGCGAGTAAGTTGACGTCATGTCGCAGATCAGACAACATGTTCCACCTGGCTCTGCTCTAGTTCTACAGAGGTTCTGAAGGTCTCACATAGTTTTAGTTTTGGACTTCAGCTGCTTTTATCACTTGCTTCCATAAAAGGAGAATGAACATGTAATTGCTTTGTCTGTTAGCAAAAAATTCTCACAAACTATTTGATTGATTTTGATAAAACTCATTAAATCATTGAATATTCCTCTGATTGACTTTTAGAGCAACTGATTCAAGATGGCCGACACAACCAGTTGACTCTAAAAACACAGAATAAGCTATATAATTTCAGTGACTTTTCCAGATATTGAGACAAGACCTGGTGTGGTAGTAGCTGAGAATCAGTTTCAACACCTAGTTTGAGCACTAACACAAGGCGGGAGCTCATAGTTCAAAACGTTTACAAGATGGGCTGCATAACCAGAGTAGGTGCCGAACTGAGTGCCTAAAGTAAAAAAATGCAGAATACTAGCTAAAATAAGCAAAAACAAAGCAAAAGGCTAAATGTAGTTAAAGGCTAGCTAAAGCTAAAAAGAAAAGAATGGTATCCAAGAATGTAAGGAGACATGAATGAAACATGAACAACACGCCTGGCTGATTACAGATCAGGGACAGGTGGTCAGATCAGGTGAGGGCAGCAGACAAAGGGTAAATGAGGAATGGTACGTAAAACAGAACAAGAGCTAAACCAGAAAACTAAAACAAAACCTAACAATAAGTACAAAAGAGGAAAGAGCTAAACTGACGAGGAAGACACAGCAGAACCTAAAGGACAATAATAAACGTAAACCACAAAGAATGAAACTAAAAGATAACCTCAAGGAACTAACTCAAATTACAGAAAAACATGAACAGTAACAGTTAAAGCCTTTTTGTGTTTAATAGTTTAATGGTGTTAGATAAAGTACACTCCTTGAATAGCCACTTTATTGTGGTAGAGGAGTATGTTTGCCTGAATGATCCTAGGAGCTGCACTGCCAGTCTCCCAAGACAGATTGGTCTTAGGGGACAGTCCAGACAAAGAGTGAATGGAAGACTTATGACAAGCAACAACAAGGAGCTCAGTGTCCCTTGCCCGGACGTGGGTTACTGGGGCCCCACCCTGGAGCCAGGTCTGAGGGAGGGGCTTGTCTGCGAGCTCCTGGTGATTGAGTCTCTACCCATGGGGCCTGGTCAGGCTCAGCTCGAAGGCGCAACATACATGCAGAAAGGGCCATACAAGTCAGGTGCATGACTCCATGGGCAGTGGCTGAAGGCGGGGTCTTGGAGCTCTGACCCTGTCTTACCAAAGCTGGCTCTTGGGACATGGAACGTAACCTCTCTGGCAGGGAAGGCGCTTGAGCTTGTACGTGAGGTTGAGAGGTACCAACTAGATATAGTTGGGCTCACCTCGACGCACAGCATGGGCTCTGGAACCAATCTCTTTGAGAGGGAATGGACTTTGTTCCACTCTGGAGTTGCCCTTGGTAAGGGGTGCTGAACTGGTGTAGGTCTACTTTTTCCCCCCTGACTTGGTGCCTGTGTGTTGGAGTTTTCCCCAGTAGATGAGAGGGTGGCTTCCCTGTGCCTTCAAGTGGGGGGACAGGCCCTGACTGTTGTTTGTGCCAAGACAATGGCAGTACAGAGTATCCGGTCTTCTTGGAGTCCTTGGCAAGGGTGCTGGAAGGTGCACCATCTGGGGTCTCCTTTATTCTGCTGGGGGACTTCAATGCCCATGTGGGTAAGGACAGTGTGACCTGGAGAGGTGCGATTGCGAGGAACGACCTCTCTGATCTGAACCAAAGCGGTGTTATGTTGTTGGACTTATGTGCTAGTCATAGTTTGTCCATCACGTCCACCATGTTCAAACATAAGGGTGCTCCAGACACCCTAGGTTGGAGATCGATGATTGACTTTGTAGTCGTGTCATCTGATTAGCGACCATTTGTTTTGGACACTCGGGTGAAGAGAGGCGCTGCACTGTCAACTGCTCACCACCTGGTAATGAGTTGGAGCAGACTGTGGAGGAAGATGCTAGATAGACCCAGTAGACTCAAATATGCAGTTAGGGTTTGCTGGGAATGCTTGGGAGAATAACTCTTCAGAAAGAACTTTGACTCACACCTCTGGGAGAGCTTTAACAACATCCCAGCCGAGGCGGGGGACATTGAATCCAAATGGGCCATGTTCCACGCCTCGATTGTTGAGGTAGCTGCCTTGAGCTGTGGCCGGCCGCAAAGTTGTATGTGCTTCTTGCAGTGGCCATCCTCAAACTTGGTGGTGGACACCCCGGGTTAGGGAGGCTGTCAAGCTGAAGAAGGAGTCCCATCGGACCTTGTTGGTTGGTGGGACTCCAGAGGAAGCTGAGGAGTACTGGAGGTGTCCATTGTTGTCATCTTTCTTTGTTGAAATCAGATCTCTCTTGTAAATGAATCCTCGAGGCTCAATGGGATTACCTGTCTAAATAAAGGTTGAATGAAAAAGGACCAAGGAGCCTGCAGCCTTTGCTGAGACAAAATCTTGGATAAGGGAGGAGTTTGATGAGGCCTTGGATAGAGACTCTAGGTAGGCTCATGAGATTCTGGCAAACCATATGGCGGCTGAGGAGGGGAAAGCAGCGCTTTAAAACAGAGCTTTTTAACATTGTGTTCAGTGAAGGTGGGGTGCTGTTGACCTCAACCAGTGATGTTGTCAGGAGGTGGAAGGAATACTTCTTGGACCTTATAAATCCCATTGGCATGTCTTCCATGGAGGAAGCTGTATCAAGAGACTTTGGGGTTGATCTGTCCATAACCGTGGCTGAGGTTGCAGTGGTGGTTAACAAGCTTCGTGGTGGCAGGAAATCAGGGTGATGGCAGGAATTCAGGGGTGGATGAGATTCACCCTGATTTCCTTAAGACCCTGGATGTTGTAGGACTGTCTTTGTTGACACCCCTTTGCAACATCACTTGGACATCTGGGTAGTGCCACTGGCTTGGCAGACTGGGGTAGTGTTTCCTGGATTCAAAAAGGGGCACCGAAGTGTGTGCTCCATATACAGGGGCATCACTCTCCTTAGCCTCCCTAGTAAGGTCTATTCGGGGGTACTGGAGAAACAAGTCTGATCATTGGTCGAATCTCAGCTCCAGGAGGAACAACGTAGGTTGCATCCTGGTCGTGGAACACTGGATCAGCTCTTTACCATCACTAGGATTCTCAGGGGGTCATGGGAGTTTGCCCATCCAGTCTGGAAAAAAGGGTTCAACTGTGTTCCTTGGGGCACACTGTGGGAGGTGCTCCATGAGTTTGGGATTGGGGGCCCGTTGTTATGGGCTGTTTGGTTCCTATGGAAGTAACCATGTGAAGCGACTGGGATGAGAATCAGCACCTTCAAATCTGAGGCCATGGTACTCAGTTGGATAAAGGTGGACTACTCTCTTCAGGTCGAGGGTGAGGTTCTGCCTAAGTGGAGGAGTTCAAGTATCTCAGGATTTAGTTCACAAGTGAGGAAAGAATGGAGTGTGAGATTGCCAGATGGATTGGTTCAGCTACAATATTGTGGACTCTGTGCCAGACCGTGGTGGTGAGGAGGGAACTGAGCTGTAAGGCAAAGCTCTCTGTTTACTGGTCAGTCTTCGTTTCTACCCTCACCTATGGTCACACATTCTGGGTAGGGACAGAAAGAATGAGATTGTAGTAGGTGGTTGAAATGAGTTTCCTCTGGAGGGTAGCTGGACCCTCCCTTAGAGATAGGGTGAGAAGTTAATTTATCTGGGAGAGACCCAGAGTAGAACCACTGCTCCTCCACATCGAGAGGAGCCAGTTGAGGTGGTTCAGGCATCTGATAAGGATGCTCTCTGGGTGCCTCCCTAGGGAGGTGCTTCGGGCATGTCCGACTAGGAGGAAACCCCGGGGAAAACCCATGGCATGCTGGAGAGACTAGGTCTCTCTGTTGGCCTGGGGACATGTTGGTGCCCTCCAAGAAGAGCTGGAAGAGGTGGCTGTGGAGAGAGATGTCTGGACCTCCCTGCTCAAGATGCTGCCTCCTGACAGCTGACTTTGGAATAATCGGAAGCAGAATAGCGGGCAGGCCAGGTGTATGTGTGTGTGTACGGGGGGGGTCTAGGAGTCCTCCCCCTGAGAATTTTGAATAAAGTAGAATCCATTTCCTGCATTCTGGTGTATTTTACAAAGGTTTAGTACAGTAGATTAATATGAAACAAAATATGTAAATTCAATTATTATTGAAATCTCTGACTGCAAAGCGTTCGTAATGCAACACCACTGCAGCTCTGCAGGTAAGAGGCGTTCACTTCAGGACAAACTGAGGTTTTTGATTGGTTAGTTGCTGACATGCCTACTGGATTGATTGACAGGTGGCGCGACTGGTGCAAAAAAAAAAATCATAGATTTTACTGGCCCCTTTAAGACTGTCATCATTTATTCCATATTTTGGTGAATCTAAGGTTTGAGAACTGTTTCCTTACACAATCCTTATGATGGTTTCTTTATTTTTCAGAGGTGCTGAGTTAAACTTTAGGGGTGCTTGAGTGCCCCAAAAAGCAAGTAGGTATTGCTGCAGGCAAATTCGGAAGGCGTATCTGGGGGGGCCACATCTGATTGGACTATAGGAAATGGGCATATCTGGGGGGCCACATCTGATTAGACTATAGGAAATGGGCGTATCTGGGGGGCCACATCTGATTGGACTATAGGAAATGGGCGTGTCTGGCGGGTCACATCTGATTGGACGAGGTGTATCCCGGGAGCCACATCTGATTGGATGATAGAAAAATGGGCGTGTCTGGCCGGCCACATCTGATTGGACGATAGAAAAAAAGGTTGAACGAAAACTAGCCGTTTGTGTTAACCACAGACACATTATGTCTAAAAACAAGGCGTTATTGGCAGATTGTGTTACCCACAGGCATATTATGTCTATGGTGTTAACCAGTTCGACATTAGCGGCGTCTCATGTTCAACACTGGCGGCGTCTCGGTTCGACGTTAGCGGCGTCTCCATAACTTCTCTTTCCGCCTCTCAACACAGAACTTCCGGTTACATTTCAAAATAAGAGCAAAATAACTGGGTAGTGGGGAGAGTTAAATGTTTTTTTTTAATACCAAGCCATAACATTAAAAAACAATCCATTTTGGTTGTTGAAAAATGTGAAAATAGTTACAATTGATTCATAAAGAAAGAAAAATATTAATGATATTTAAACTGGCCTTGGGACAAAGGTTGGTTCCTTTAACTTCACATTGTCTTGTTCAACCTGCAGTCAGTGCAGATGAGTGATTGTCAGTTTCTGTCAGAGTTCTGCACCTGGAGCAGGTATTCTGTTTACTGGTTCACTTCCTCAGCTGTCTCACATTTTAAGGGTCAGTCCTTCTCCATGTTTCAGCTCCTTTCATAGATAGATCTTCTTCTAAAGAGAACATTTTGTTTTGGGCCTATATGTCATTACAGGACTCATGATCTTTAATTGAGACCAGACTTTTTGACAAATGGAGCAGGTTTCTCTTCAGATGCTTCATATTTCATTGTACCCAGACCAGACTCAAGACAACCTGTCAGGTGCAGCTACAACCAAGAACAAGAGAATCTTCTTGTGTTTGACAGTAGCTTTAACGCTGGTTCTTAAAAACCTTCAGTTTTAAAAAAGAGTTGACGTAACTTAACTAAAGAGCAGCAGATACAGCTGCCAATCAGTGTTTGCCCCCCACAAACGCCTAGTAGCCAGAAACTCCCACTTTTGGCCTGCAGAGAACCCCTTCTCCCAAAAAGAGGCTAAAATCACCAGTGAAGCCAGTTCATATGTATAATTGACTTTTAAACACTTTGTGTGATTTATAGGTGTATTAAGTGCAGGATCATTCTTACCTTACTAGTTGTTTAGTATGTCCCACACCGCGGTCAGGTGCGCCTCCTCGTCCTCCTCCCTGCTCCGCACCGTGGGACAACAAGCGCTGCTCTAAGGTTTTGGCCGCACTTTGAAAAAACTGCCTAATATTTAGCTCTTTGTCACTGACTTAGAAAAGAGTTGCTGTCAATCCTCCTGCTCAGAGAAGCGTCCCGGTCGCTCCGACATCGCTCGAATACTCTGACTGCACGACAGACATGATGAGCCGAGATCATCGTCTCTTTTTCCAGTTCAGCGAAGGTTCAGATAACTCCTGCAGAGATCCACACATCACATTGTTCACAAGAGTGCAGGAACTTATATAGTATATATATGTAGTACATATATATACTATATATATATATTGAATAGTGCAAAACTTTAATTATATTTTAGTTTTTTAATCAAATTGCTCATGACTTTGAACTTTTAGGGGCGGAGATTTATTTTAGAGTAGAAGCAGAAATGGAAGCGACTGCTCTGATGTGATGTTAGGAAGCTTGTTATGTTTAAAATGAGTGTTTATGTAATTATTTTCAGTTTACATATCCAATATAGGCTTTATTCGTTGAAGGCGGTCAAATTTGTTCATACCTTTATTATTGCTAGGCCTGAGAGTTACTGGATCCAAGCAGTTACTGGAACGCACCCTGTCAAAAAAGAGAGTTCCCGGATCTTGTTCCTGCAGGATCCGGCTCAGATTAAGCCCTGAGCACCCGGGAGCAGAGAAAATGTTGTTTTTGTATTTGTGACCTAAAATGCCAAAGTTCTGCTCTGCATTATTTTTAATGTTCTGTTCATTAAAAGGGAACCAGCTCCACTGAGAGTCGTACGGTGAAACAAATAAATCCATTTGGAAACATCCAGTCCAGTTGATTCAGTTTAATTATATTTTATTTAATTATAATCGTGTCTAACAAACCAAACGGAGCCAACAGACTGCGTTTGATTTTTTATTCCTGTCAAATTTATCTGTACTTTGATGTAAAACACAAAATAAAACAATTTCATTCATGACAAATATATAAAAATATGATGTTCAAGTTCTGGGATCTCAAAAGAGTTGTGGGATGGTGGTCCAGTGGAAGCGCCTCACCAGGGTTCTGACCTCCGCCCCGCAGGTGAACAACAGCAACAAGAAGGAGTGGAACGGGATGATGGGGGAGCTGCTGGGGGGCCTGGCCGACATGATCGTGGCCCCCCTGACCATCAACAACGAGCGCGCCCAGTACATCGAGTTCTCCAAACCCTTCAAGTACCAGGGCCTCACCATCCTCGTCAAGAAGGTGAGGTGCAGCGGCGCCAGCAGCCCGGTTCTGACCCGTTTGTTCCAACAGCCCGGTTCTGACCCGTTTGTTCCAGCAGCCCGGTTCTGACCCGTTTGTTCCAGCAGCCCGGTTCTGACCCGTTTGTTCCAGAAGCCCGGTTCTGACCCATTTGTTCCAGCAGGTATCGACTGACACCTCAGGTCGTCAGCAGCTTTCAGTGAAGCTCTTTAAACCAACAACACCGAAATAAAACGATGGCTCCATGAGGGACAGCGGCTCGTTAAAGGGATAGTCTGGACATTTCTGTAACGGTGACTTGAGTCAGCGGCTCGTTAAAGGGATAGTCCGGACATTTCTGTAACAGTGACATGAGTCAGCGGCTCGTTAAAGGGATAGTCTGGACATTTCTGTAACAGTGACATGAGTCAGAGGCTCGTTAAAGGGATAGTCCGGACATTTCTGTAACGGTGACATGAGTCAGCGGCTCGTTAAAGGGATAGTCTGGACATTTCTGTAACGGTGACTTGAGTCAGCGGCTCGTTAAAGGGATAGTC